GAATAAATTTCTATTCTAATGTAAATCTTATATGTTTTTATGTGGATCCAATGTAGGAATTAATCGTGGCTAACGTGGCTACTTAACCTGACTCCGCCAGATGGATTTGCTCCGCATATCCATCTGGAAACCTTCCGTTGAAGTAATTTTGGGAAGGGGCGAAAATACTGGTTAGCTGATTGGCCTATGTTGGTGATAGACGGGCCAAATAAACCAATCAGATCAACGAAGCATATGACGTACTAACAGAGCGACGACGAAGAGGAGCCAATTGATAGATCAAACTCTTGCTGAAACCAGTCGGGAGAAGAGCAAAAACATCTTTTCCTCTGAGAAAAGCCTCCAGAGCAGTGTTTTGCTCTTCTTTCAGTGAAGAAATACTCTGTAATTCCGATAAAACTTGCTCGATAGCCACGCTAACGCTAGTTTCATCGGCTGAAGCCGCCATGTTCTTTAGACTGAACTGTCGCGCTTCTCGTTGCGTCACACCTCAACCCGCCTCAAAGCCAACGCTGATTGGACGTTCGTTTGGTGAACGGCTCCAAATTTTCTTTAACGGAGAGTCTCCAGACTGATCTGCGAGGGAAACCTTGAAAGCTCGCGAGATCAGGATGGTCTCATGAGGCTAGTGGTTACTACGGTCTGTCAATTTTAAAGAAAGAACTCAATTTCACTCGCACCCCCACCATGGTTCTGTTTTCATCTGAAAAGAAGAAGAAGAAGAATCCTTGTTTGCGCACTGAGCGATTCGCCCACGACAGCCGACTAAACTTCAAACATGTTTGATTTTTTTTCCCAGCTTACGATTCCTAATGGGGAGGAAGTCGTAAGATGCCGATCGCCCCTGGTTATCCTGAGTACACCACGCACCATCAGGCTGAAAATCGGACCGATTAAAACATTCTCACACGACTGGAAAGTCGGCCCAAAAGGTAAATCGTACAGTGTACGCCCGGTTTTACAGCGCCATGACGTCACAGCAGGAGGATGGCCGCTCCCAGACTCAGTGATCGCGCCGAAAATCGTTTTTATTTTTTTACTGATTAACACTAAATTCATTAAATCACTGCGAACGTATTAGTTTTAGGTATAACTTCTGATCCACTGATCGGACTTTTCCTTTAACGGAGACTAAAACTTGTATTTTATTGCATTCTCAGTTCATTTAGGGGGAGTTTGATCTTCCCTCCTGTCCAACAGTGTTTCAGGTGTTTCCACACGGAGCTACACTCAGTATGGAAGCGAATCGTTACCATATTTAAAATGAAAAAGCTTTTTCAGAAATGCTTTTTCATTTTAAATAATGGTAACGATTCGCTTCCATACACTCAGCAGCTCTGATGCTTCAGCAGAGGGACAGTTGGCCTCTTGTTTCTAGAATACTTTTGGAGACGTTTGAGGCTGAATCACCATTCCTCTCCCACCTCTACAGCAGGGGCGGAGCTATATGGGGGGCCAGGGGTGGCCATGGCCACCCTTAACCAATCATTGGCCACCCCTGTGGCCACCCCTAGCATTTATTTCCTCTAATACAGACAGTGGCAGCAGTAATACTCTCAAGTGGAATATTCAAAACATTTTCATTTTTCATATAGTAACAATTACTTGACAACAAAAACCTTGTGGTTAATTATGCTCATCAATATACTGACATTAAAGATGATAAATGCAGTATTCATGCTCTTTTCAAAAGTAGATATTTAGTTATATGGGGTAAAGGGAGAATAATGTGTCTCTGCAAGCCATCTAGGAGTCTTTAGTGAAATCCTAGATAAAAAGTATTTTAATAAAAACATATTAAATAATCAATAAGGTAGATAATAGTACATGTAAATATAAATTTTATGCCGAAAGATTATTGATGAAAGTAGGTAAGAAATGACGATGGAAAAGATGTTGGCCCTAGAACTCAAACCTGAAAGTATTTTATCCACTATACCTTCTATCAAGAAAGCATGGATGTCTAAATATATACGTCTATTTGTTAGCAAAGGCTGTAGGAAAGTATAGTTAGTCTTTATTTTGAAAATATGGATGTTGCGCTCGTTAATTTTCCTGTTGGAACAGTGTAGATTGACCCTGGGGTTCTGGTGCCGATCCACTTTCGGGCCCCCCCTCAGCCTACATTGGTTATTGCCTGGCCACCCTTCTAAACATTTTCTGGCTCCGCCTCTGCTCTACAGCCCTTTGGGGTCCGTCCAACAGACAATGTTTCATGACTTGTTAAATGCAACTCTGCAAACCTGAAGACCAAAACAAGCTCTGCAGAAACCAGGTGACATCATCCTGTTCTTGCAGCTTTTTCTTCAGGTTTTTCTTCTTTGGTTTGCAGAAATGACTGCTGTGGGTGTGCTGCAGTAGGAGGGACCTCTCAGGAATCCTGCTCCTGCTTTCTTCTTTACTATGAAAAGTTTTGCAGCTTTTATACAAACAACACTTTTCTCTGGAGTCCTGCTAACATCTTCCTTGTCTTGACCTTTAACCTTGTGAAGTGGTGTCAAACCTGCTTGTGTTTGCAGTTCATGAACATTTTGAATTGAAAAAGCTTCCTGGATGGGAAGCGAAACGTCTTCAAGCTCGGAAACAAAGTCCATTGGATTGCTTTTTTTTTTATTTAACCTTTTTAGAATGACTCTGACCTTGGATGACTGAGAACCTTCACCAATATTTGCAGGTAATGATTCCTCACCTGTTTTCAGGTACTCCCTGTGTTAATTAAAGCCTTTGCCTTCAGTTTCCTCTTCATTTCCTCGTCGTTCCTCTTGTCATTCCGTCATTCCTGGTCGTCACCATTTAATCCTTCCTCCTGATGTCCTGTTACCAGGACGTCCTCGAGTTCTTGGGTCTTTGGCTATCTCTCTCTGTGCTTCACGCTTTGTCTTCAGGCTGAATCTGCTCAGAAAATATGCTGATTTCCATTATTGGAGACGTTCTGCATGAGGCAAAGCCTTTGCTCCTGAGATTTAGTCGCTATTTCATTAAAATGTACCAATAATTTCACCAAACTGAATAGAAAATAAGAATAACAGAGCAGCTTATGTCACGCATGCTGGTTACATCACCTGAAATGTTCGCACAATGACCTCTGACCCCTCCTTGGAAAGGTCTGAGCCTCTACTTCCCAACAATGGCGGCCATTAGGGGGCGGGGCTAAAAATGAATACCTGCACTCACGCAGAGTGACACATGTCAGGTGGAATTTTAATTCTCATTTTGTTTACACAACTATAACACATAAAGTGCTTGTGAAAAAATAATTTTGAAACATGTTTTAGAAATTTATAAAACCCGTTTGAAAGGCGTGTGGATGAAACACCATGTGACTGAGTTTGGGCCATTTCTATAAATAGATAAACATAATCAGGGGTCAGTTGGGCCCTGTACCGGGTCTAAATATTGTTTTCATTTAGAAACAAATTTCTGATGAAAGAATTTTTATCTAACCAAGATAAAAATTTAATAATATGTGTCCCCCCAAACACAACCACACAATTAGCAGAAACAAAAGCTTTAAAAAATCTAGTTGATTATAATTACTCTATATATCATGTTTAAAGTTACTGGATTAAATACACATTTTATTTATATTGCATATAAAGTGATTAAATCTCCAAACTGCTACTTTTATCTTCACTGCTGGTGAAGCAGGAGGTTTATAATTTCTGCCTCTGAATGTTTTCTGAACTTGAACCTATCAGTGATGCTATTTATATCATCTAGAAACCTTTAAAGTTAAAATAAAGTCATGGAGATGACTTGTTTGGCTGTTTGGAGATAACTTAAAGAAGTGTTGATGTTTGAAATCAGAGAGGGGGAATTTAAGATGCACAGCAGCTACCAGGTTTGGTTGTTTCTGCAGGAGAATAAAGGCTGGAGGAAAAGCTTGAAGTTAGAATTCACTTTTTCAAGGCACAGATTAAACATCTGCTTCCTGTCGTGTTTGCCTGTCTTTTAATCTTTTCCTATGGGGGGGATTCTGTCTGAGGAAGCATCGGATCTAACGCGTGAAGGAAAATAAACATCAGAGGAAGGACTCTGTGAGCTGAAATGTGATTGAGGAGAGCGAGCGTTTTCTCACAGCGGGGGATTTTCCTTGGAAGTGATGATTGGGCTGCTGCAGCAGCTCCACGGAGGACGAGGAGGAGGATGACTCTGCTATCAGCCTGCCGCCTGATGTCTCCCCTCTGCTGGGCGGGGTCACCTCTGACTCCTCCCTGCCTGCCGTCTTTCCGTACAGCGGGTAGTGGAAACCTGGGGAGGGCAATAAGATGCAGACACCAAGAAATGTGGAAAAAAGTAGAAAAAACATTTTAGATTTCCTCTCAATCATTCATTCTAATCTATGACTTTCATTCGTTTTCTAAGATTATTTGTAAAATTCACAGAAAATAATGAAAATTGGGGAAAAGAAAGGGGGGTCGTTAAAGGGAATTGTTGGCCTGGCTGAATAGGAGTCTTCTGCTCCCCTGTAAGGGGGTTGGGGTTGCGATGATAGCGGGAAGGAATCAACTCTATCTCTAGATTGTGGGTTTTTAAAAGCTGAAATCTGAGTCCCCCCCCTGTTTAAGGTTGTTTTTTTCTTTCCTAACATAGATTGCTTCCTTCACGCCCTTCTCAAACCTTCTATCTTCTTTGTTCAATATGTGAATATTCAGGTCCTCCCCTTTCAGCGGGGAGTTCCAGCTGCCCCCCCAGCAGTAAACTGGACGTCTGGGGTCTTAGTGGGATCATAATCCTGATGAACTGAAAAACAGAGGATGTTTGGAGGTGGACTTTTGCATTTAAAAAAGTTTTAAAACTATTTTTTTTAACTTATCAAAGTAAATAAAGCCAATCTGCTCGCTAGCGTGAAGCTACAGAACAGAGCAGATAAACAACCGGAGCATAGAAGCGTCAAAGCAACGTGAACAGTTTGATTCAGCGTCTGACCCTGCATCCAGATTTCTGTGCATTTTAGGGGATTAAAACATTTCTGGTGTGAAAGCAGCAAAAGGCGTGAAACTGTAAAAAAAGATATTTTAAGCTTCTTTTCCTCAGCTTCAACACTGCAAAAACGATCTGAAATTAAGTAAACATTTCTTAAATCAAGTGTATTAAGCCTTAATTTGAGCAGGTAAATAAGACAGTTTGCCAATGGAATGAGTATTTTTACACTTAAAATAAGTTAATTAGATAATATGCACTCGAAACAAGACAATGCAACTGATTTTTCTTAATTCAAATGTAAATCATCTTGTTCCACTGGCAAAGTGTTTCATTTACCTCCTCAACTTAGGATAAAATGCACTTATTTTAAGAAAAAATGACTTATTTAGATTCAGAGATGGCAAAAGTACTCACTTTCCGTACTTGAGTAAAAGCACAGATACTTGTGTTAAAAAATACTCTGGTAAAAGTGGAAGTACTGATTAAACTTCTTTACTCAAGTAAAAGTAACAAAGTACAGGCTTGTAAATGTACTTAAAGTATAAAAGTAAAAGTAGAAACCACTTTTTTCATGCCGTTGCCTACATTTTAAATGGATGTCTGCCAATAGGACTAGATCTCCGTTGTGTTCATTTTCAATCATCTCGTCGTCCATGCTACTATGCTAACGCCACCGCCACCAAGCTGCAATGATTTGCCGCCAATGAATACCGCCGAATCTGTCGATTCATCTTGTAGTGGTGCGTCAAATGCAACGTAGATTCCCATCCAATTAGATTGAATTTGGTATTGATGACGTGAAAAATAATAACGGTAACTCCATTGAAATGATTCAAAACTAAAGTAACGAGACAATTTTTTAAAATGTAAGGAGTAGAAAGTACAGATATTTGTGTAAAAATGTAAGGAGTAGAAGTAAAAAGTCGCCATAAAAATAAGTAGTAAAGTAAAGTAAAAATATCAGAAAAATCTACTTGAGTACAGTAACGAAGGATTTGTACTTCGTTACTTCCCATCTCTATTTAGATTTAAAGTTTTTGCAGTGAAAAGTTTCAGTTTCATTTTCTATTTCATGTTTTAAATCTTAATCTTTAAAAATATATATTTCAGTTCAAAATCTTTTTTTTACCCCTAATAATTAATTTTCAGTTTTATATTATTATTTTTTCGTTAAAACAATATAATTATGGCCATTACTTAGCTCCATACTTTTCCCTTTGCATTTCCATTTTCATTAATTTTTTAATGCAACATTTATTAGCTTAGTTTTGTCACATTTAACCCTCCATAGTTAGAGATTCTACATTCATTTACATTTTGACAGAAATCCCTGTATTTTTTTCCTCTAATTTTGGAATGATTTTTTCACCCCCGTCTTACCTGGGTAGTTGTGGACCAGGGTCGGGGACACTCCCCTGTAGGAGCCCCCGCTGCCCTCACACATGGCCAGATAGGGAGAATAGGAGGGGTGCTGGTACTGGATGTAGGGCTGCTGTGGGGTCATGGGAGGTGACACTGCCGCCCTGGCATTCTGAGACTCCTCTGCCAGCCCTCCCACTGCGTCGTGATCCTGGTCCTCCAGACCCTCGTGTCGGTGTGAATCCTCCGCATCGGCAACGGCCGGGAAATCTTGGAGCCCATGAGCTCTGGATTTTTTAGCATCTACACCACCTGGGGTCATCTTGGCCCCCGCAGGCTCCACATTGGTTCCCCACTCAGTCCCAGTGCCCGCTTCCCCCTCTTGGCCATTCTCCCCGTGCTGACTCTGTAGCTCTGAATATTTGCTGTGCGAGAGGCGGTGTGCCCAGCCGGGACCGTCTGGGGACTAGATTGATGGGGACAAGTGTTGGTGCTGGTTCAGTGTTTCCCCTATAATTCTTTGTTAACAGTGGTGGGTGGGAGCCATGTTTGGCTCGACTTCGGTCCACGTCGCGGTTCTGCTTGCATTACCAGGTGCAGGGCTACAATTAGATACCGTTCTATTCAAACATCAGCAAATTGTCTCTTTAGTGCTGTTTAAGGGGAAGCGAAGGATAATTTATGACTTTCATCGGTTCGTTTTTTTATAGAGGAGGATAATTTCTCTGCGCTGGCCCACCGCTGCTGAATGACTATAGAGGAAACACTGTGTAGTTGAGTTAACAGAGCCATAGACAGACCATCTATCACCGGCTCTGGATGAGATGTTGATGAAGGATGACGACGTTTCAACAGCAGGCGGCCATTCAGCAGTGAGATGTGAGGAGGAGGAGGGTGGCGTCTCACACATGATCAAGTGCAGAGTTTAGAGCAATTTGGAGGAAAAAAAGAACAACCTCTTGTTGTACTCGGGTTAGAAGGATGACGCTTGTGGAAAAAAACAAAACAAAACTGTACAAGCATTTTGTTCCTTTAACAGCTAAAGATGGAAAAACACATTTCCTCCAATAATTTTCACTCTAAACGTTAGAAAACAAAAAAAACTTTTTTGCATTTGAAACAACTGAAGTAGAATGTCAGAGTAGAGCTGTAGCAGCACAGAAGCCACATGGTCCTTGGTATTAGCACCTATTGTACACAATGTGAGGTTAATCTCTTTGTGACACTCAACAGCAGTCAGTGAAGCACACCAACAACACCATCAGCGGCGGCGGCGGGTTATAAACAGAGGGAGAAACTTACACTGGAAAATGAAACATTGTCCAGATCTGTCTGACTGTTTGGATTGTGAAGGGATGAAGAAGAGGAGGAGGATGAGGAAGGTGACTTGATGTCATCACAGTCTTTCATTGAGACCTGGTGCTGGTCCACCATGCCACTGTGCACTACCTTTACGCCCAGACTCTGCCCCCTTTCTCCCCTTTCACTCATCTCCACATAGGAAAGCACCGGCTTGGGACAGCAACCTTTAGCACCGTCTGGACCTTTACCTAGCATGGCTCCACTGGCTGAAACCCCAACCATATGTTTAACATCCTCGGTGTCCCTTACCCCCTGTCCTCTTTGCTTGGCACCAAGGGTCTGGTCACAGCATTTGGAGGCCAGTAAAAGCTTCTGGTCCATATATAGTCCTCTGGAGTACTGGCCATAGTAAAGAGACTGGGCTAAAGCTGTCTGGGTCTGACTCATAGCCAGCTGGAGTTGAGACTGAGCTGGAACGTCAACTTTCTTAGGATCAGAGAAGTCGTTTTTATCATCGTCTTTCATTTCCTCTCTCCGGTCTTTTACTTTGCTGTCGTGAGGAGAGTTTTTGTGGAAAGCGACAGTCCCGCTGTTCTGCCTCTCTGGCTGCATGTAGCCTTGCAGGTAGTAGGGGTCGTAGCCGTGGTAGTACGGGGAATGGGGCTCTTTCAAAGCTGTGGGAGGGGTTTTGCCAGAGTTAGCATGGTTGCTATTGGAGCTCACCTCGGACGAAGACGAGGAGCTGGACTTGGACCTCATCCCGTCAGAGCGACATTCTGAAGACCCCCCGTCGTCTCCGGCATCCGATATATCCGAGTAGGCAGGGCTGTCGTTCTTGCTGCCGCCGTCTGCTGCTAGACTCGGGTCAAGTCTCGACGATCCACCGATCGACGGACTGGGGGCGTTGTCGGTGAAGGTGTAGACCTTGTCGGCCTCTGCGCGGATGCTGGCCATCCTGCTCTCCTGGCTCTCTGTGAGTCCATTCATTACATCCTGTTTGCTAAGGTGCTCCTTCAAAAGGCTTCCAGAAATTTCCTTAACCACTCCTTTAGGTCCAATACCAACATCTTCCACCTTGATCACACCACTGTCACCATTGGCAGTCCTGTTAGCCGCCTCTTTGTTATGTTTATCCTTTAGCTTTCGTTTTTCTTTTTTCCTGGTCTCTTTGCAAGTCACCACTGTGGCTTTGACAAGGTTTGGCTCCACTACGATGCTAAGCTTTGGTTTAATGGGTTTCAGGGAAAGGTTTTTACTGGTAAGGCCTACGGTAGCCACTGTGGAAGGCTGCTGTGGGGAGACAACGTCAGCTGTGCTGGTCGGATAGGTGGTGTTAGGTATGGCAATCAGCTTTGGTGGTGCTGGCGCTGGAGCAATTGGACGGTTAGTCCTGGACTTGGATAGTTTTTCAACCTTTCCATTGGCCTTCTTACCTTTGTCCGGTACACCTCCCTTTTTATCGATCAGTCCTTCGGCTTCCAGTTTGGGCATCTCTGCCAAAGAGCTTCTGTCTGGGACCATGCAGTTCTCCAAAACCACTGTCATGTTGGAGATAATGGGAAGATTACTGAGGTCGTCAATCAGGCCGTCTTTCAGGAGTGAGGTTCTTCTGGTTTTTGAGTTGGCGTTAGGGCTGTGGTCGGTGCTCAGAAGTAATCGTCTGTTTTTGGGAGATCCCACTGTCGTCACTTTGTATAGAGGAGCAGGTTTCTTTGAGGTGCTATGAGTGTTTGTGCTATTCTCTGGGGGCTCATAAGTCACATTGCTGATGTTGTCCTCACAGTCTGATAGTCGATCTTCGCTTTCTCCATCTTTCAAAGAGCCCAGTTCAGGCTTCCTCTGCTCGTCCGCCTCCAGGTGTGCATGTGTCTGGTGGTAGCGCAGTCCGTTGATGTGCTTGTAGCGTTTAGTGCAGTTTGGATGAGGGCAGTCAATGAGGATGGGTGGGGGTGGGGAGGAAGCACAGCCTCCTCCTGGGTCCATGAAAGATGGGTCAGATTTGCCCAAAGGCGTTGATGGGGCACTACGGGATTTTGCTCGGATCCTCTTCCCATTTGCGTTTTTAATTTCGTCTGAGGAAACAAGACTAAGGTCCAAGTCAGCTGGGGGTTTGTTCTTTCGCTTCCCGGTGGGGATAGAGGAGGATATATTTGTGGATTTAACATCATCGACCATGAAAAAGGAGGAAGGCGCCCTGCCATTGCTGTTGATGAGATTCAGGCTGCCCCTCCTTCCTTTGCTGTGGATGGATCCTGCCACACTGCCCCCACGGCTCCGATGGTGTGGAAGTCCCCTGACTTTAGTGGAATGGGACTGTTCTATGCAGGATCGTTCCGACATGGCCATTCTCATCCGTTTCCCTCGTCCACGGCCACCAGGGAATTCAGGATCACTGCAAGGGGACTCACAGAACCTGAAGAGACAAGAACACATTTGTTTCAATGATCCCAATATAGAAAGATTAAAGAAGGTTAGTGATGTATATGAGAGATGTGAGACTTAAACCCTTAAGCCCCATTTACATTACCCTCTGAAAACCAACCTGTGCCAAGTGCGGACTGAGCTCCAATCAGTAGAAACTAGAGCTTCTAGAGAAGCTCCAAACCGTGCAGAGCTTGGTTCCTTACAACCGTTTACACTCCACGCTAGCACGGTCTACAGTACTACTGCTCTCTAGAGGTAAACAAGCAAACCAACATGGCGGCGTCCGTAACATTCAGGAAGTTTGGTTCTAATTGTGATATTTTGTTGTTTGCGGAGAGTCAGGCCAAGAAGGCAGCCTTTGGGGAATTTACTTGACCCGTTCGGTTTTTGGGAAGTGGATACGACAAACGATAGTCTGGATACGACAAACGATAGTCTAATCAGGGCTTACAGACACAGGAAACAACAACGGACATTAAAGTTCATCACACTGCTAAGCAGAATCATCACTGGAAATCGTGTGGCATGGTAGGGAAGCTAGGATATTTGGACTCACTGGACTCAGTGGCTGAGAGGAGGGTGCTGTCCAAGCTTCCATCCATCATGGATGCCACCTTCCACCCTCCGCAGCAGACTGGAGAGGAGTGAGCAGCTCCTTTAGTCAAAGACTTTTACACCCTGTTACTGCAGGTCATTCATCCCTGTTGCCACCAGACTCTACAATGCAACACTACAACTTGTACGATGTATAATGTGCAATTACTATTTGATACCCTGTGCAATACCCAATTTCTTTATATTTGACACCCAGTCCAATAGCTATATATATAAATATCTATCTATATAAATACCCATGTGAAGCTATCATATGTGGTAGCAGCCATTCAAAATGGCCCTTACCAGTCAAAAGCCAGCCGAATGGCAGCAGAATCCCCTCCAACTCCCAGCTGCTCTGTTTTTGGCAGATCCTTCTCATGGGCGTGCATATTTTTTTACTCTGACTCCACCCTTTCAGTGAATTACAATGTCTGACCAGGAGATGATGCTTCTCTTTAGATCTTAATGTCCACAAATCGTATTTTAGTACAAAGACTGATGTTTAAAACGGAATCGTAGGGGACCAGCCAACGAAGGGCCAAGAACCAGCCAAGGGCCAAATCAAGGAAAGTGGGGAAATTTTGATTGGCTACTACTGTGTATACTTAATATATACCATGGACCTTTTCTTCTTTTGGCACCTCCTTCGTCTCTTTTTGGCTATTTGAGCTGATGTAACGAGTAATTGTCTCCACTGTGAGATCAATAAAGTCATTCAACCACTTTTGATGAATGTCTGAAATTTCCTGATTACGGAGGCTGACTGTAAGATGACGCGGTGAACCGCGCCGAGCCCCACTAATGAACTAGTACCAGTTTCGCGTGGTTTGGTTGAGTCTTCCGCGGTCCGGTTCAGTTTTGCGTGCCATTTAGACTCAACAGTTATCTCGGTTTCCGTGCTCGGACCGATCTCAGCATTTGAAACCATTTGAAAACAAACGATGCGAAGAGCAGTGTTGCCAACTTAGTGTTTTAGTTGCTAGTGACTTTTCAGACCCCTCTAGCACTTTGATTTCTAAAAAGCTCCTAGCGCCAAATCTAGAGACTTTTTTCTGCTACTGGAGACTTTGGAGACAACATCTAAAAGCAGCGAACTCTGCTCTCCAGAGCGAGTAGATTGGTAACCCCGCCTCCTGCTCTCCTCTATCTTGTCTGCTGTCATGATTCATGCAGCTATTATTTCATCCAAATGATAAATGGAGAACAGATAAGCAGATCATGGCTTGTCTACAGTGAAAAGAAGGACTGGGTTATTTACTTTGGCCTTTTTGGAAACACAGGAAGGAGCAATCAGCTAAGTGAGCTTAGTGCTTGGAAAAAATCTTTCATTCCTTTAGAGACAGCATGAAAAGTCAGCTGAGTACAAAACATAGAGAGGAAAACAAGAAGAAAAGGGACAAGAAGAGAGGGACACAACCTAGAACAGATAATGGATGTCTATTCTATTAACATTTCTCTATCTGGAGAATGGGGCTGTTTGATGTGTTGGTTTCTCAATTCAGAGGGCCCCCTGCCTGTCTTTGCCTAGGGTCCCAAATTTTCTAAATCTGCCCCTGTTTCCTACATTCCTATAGCTCAATGTGACATTAATAAAAGTTAGTTGTAGAGACTTTGTTCTTTCGCTGAGCTGAATTTTGTCACACAGTAGTTGCTCATCCAGGAGTAGCATGTCTTGCTGGTTAATGGCTGAATGCAATCAACTGTTTTTTCTAACCGACAGTTTTGTCTCTGTAAAGCGCCCTGAGAACACATGTGTTGTGAATTGGTGCAATATAAATAAACCATCATTAGATTTGTCACCGCTGAGGTCCATCAGAACCTGAGGCAGAGATACATCTGATTTCTACCTCTGTGTCTAACACATCAGCTGCTTATTGACCAGTTCATTTCCCACTAATGAGACCATTTTCCACAAACCACCAGTCAATTTTTAATGGGTTCTTTTTCCAAGACTTTCCTGGTTTCCTAAGACTTTCCAAGACTTTAACTGAGGGTGATGCGTCGTATGGATGTTGAAGTCGTTTTCTCCGCCATATTTATGTTATAGTCACTTAAAGGAGTTTTCTTGGGCTACCAGTTCCTTTGCACTTTAACTTCTATCAAACTTCACCCAGCCAAACCGTGAACACCCTGAAGATTTCATCACACTCTCTTTAGGTGGAAATCTTGTTTTTTAAGGCTAATAAAAGCTTCTTCCACATATTTAAACTAGATATGGGTGAAAATAACCCCTCACTGCGACACAGATAAAGACCTAAGTAACGAAAAAAGTCTGGAATCCATAGTCTCCAAACATCTACTGTATTTTGCAGACTGTAAGTTGGAATTTAATTCATGGTTTGGCCAGGGGTGCGACTTATACTCTGGAGCGACTTATGTGACTTATTAAAACATTATTGTATAATTTCACATGTTATTTTCACACTAAACCCCAAGAGGGCGCTCCAAGCATGTGTTGATAATGTAAAAATTGGGGTGAACTTATAAAAACAACTGAGAAGCTCTTTACAAAACTGGCACCGAAAAGAAAATACTATTCTGCAGATTATAAAAGAATAAAAATATGCAGCCAAAAATTGTAATGATGCAGCAGAAAGAAAGTTTTGAGTTAGTAGAGTTGAAGATTTCATTGGATTTAGTAATTTGGAGAAATACGGTAAAATAGTTATCTGAATAACTATTAATATGTTATGTTATTATACTAGGCACATTCTCCGTTTGTTTTTAATGTGTTGCGTAATGTTAGCATACCGTACAATTATTTTTGGCTGTTTTGGCCTCTATTCTATTTTTACTATATATTTTCTTTCAAGATGTTCTTGGTGTTGGATTTTATCAAATAAATTTCCCCCAAAAATGCGATCTATACTCCAGTGTGACTTTTATGTGAAAACATTTTTATGTTATTTCGATCACATAAATGCCTCCTTTCACCCCATAGAACTTCGACTGCCTCCTACAGAGGATGACTGTTAAGGAAATGAGGATTAACCAACTGGAAGCGAACGTGGAAATAAATGCTTGTTATGGAAATGATACGACTCTGCCAGTGTCGACTTTACTGTTGTCTGAAAACACTGAGATAACCCAGCCAGAGGTTTTAAGAAGCAACTCATTGGAACAACAAATAACCAGCGGAACTGAGGTGCCCCTTCCAGAGACATAGACAGGTATGGGGCATTGCAGGCTAACAAAGAAGCCAAACGACCCCCATTCCAAAGGGGGGGACCCGTTCATCCGTTTCTATTTGCATGTTTTATAAAGATAAACCAGGCTTTGTTGGTCGACCCTATAAAGCCTCAAACTCAGCGCTAATTTGGACATTTTGAATTGAAAAAGTTTCCTGAATGGGAAGCAAAACATCTTAAAATTTGGAAACAAAGTCCAGTGGATTGATTTTAACTGTTTTGGAATGACTATGACCTGGATGACTGAGAACCTTCCCCATCTAGAAACCATTGATTATGGCTGAAATCTTGTTGTCATGATGGACTCAGACCTAAAGCTTCATAAAAGACAAAGTCAGCCTTTTATCACCTGAATCACATCTCCAGGATTAAAGGACTCATGTCTAAGCAGGATCTTCTAGTTCCAGCCTCCTCTGTTCACCCAGAACTAGAACTAAACATGGAGGAGCAGCATCTATGTTCTACTGATCTGGAACAAACTCTCAGCAGACTGGAAAAGAGCTGGAAGCCTGAGTTCTTTGAAGTAAAAGCTGAAAACCCGTTAGTTTAGAGCTGCCTTTGACTGATGGAGTTAAACTGTTAACTGAGGAATTATTAGCAAACAACAAGCATGGCGGAAGGTGGAGGAGACGTGCCCCAAGACCTGGTTCCTAAAAGAGGCTCCAGCTCCGTTATCTGGAACTGGTTTGGATTTAAAAAGTCTGATACGGAGCAGAAAGTCGTAATATGCCATGTTTGTAGACAATCTGTGACGACAAAGGACAGCAACACTACCAATTTATTTCACCACCTAAAACACAAACCAGAATATGATGCTAGTCAGAAGATGCGCTGCGATGCAGCAGAAGCCTCGACTTCGAAAACCTCTGTTAAGAAACCGACTGCCACTCAAACAAAACTTGCCGACGCGTTTTCTCATTCCACACCATGTGACAGCCAAAGAGATATTTCAGTTTTTATATTCTTTTTACATTTATTAAAATGATTTATTTTTATTTTATTGTTTAGCATGCGGACGATCCTGCTGGTCTTATTTGTACATTCTTGCACAAAGAAGTATTTCAGGTTTTACATGTTTGTTGGAATTTATTGAAATTATTTATTTCTATTTTAGTATTTAGATTTTTCTGTTTTTTTCCCCTTTATTTATCATGCCATTTGCACATTTTTGTAGCCCAACAGCAAAACAAAAGATTGTTACAGG